TCTGGCTGGCCCCATAGTGGGGTGGGTATGGAGATTTGGCAGTATCTTTCCCCTGCCATGCCCACCAAGCCACGCCCACCAAGTCACACCATGCCCACTAAGCCACTCCCACAGAACCGGTAGTAAAAAATTGAATTTCACCACTGAATACAATGCTGGCCCTGATACCATGTTTCTAAGATTCTCAGAGGAGCATCAAATCTTTATAGTAAGGCACGAGGAACATGTTTTCTTAGTTGTGGGACTTTCCCTTGAAAGGGAGTAGTATTAACGGAGAGTTTCAAAGGCATAAATGTCCTCTGCAGACACGCTGGGAATGTGACAATCTTTCTGAACTAGTGGGCACTTTTACTTCTTGCAGCATGCCATGACTGAAGCAATTCCCTGTCATTATGGTGGAATGAATATTTCCTTTGGGATTGCTGCACTTTTAAAGATCAGATAAATTCTCGTGATTTCAGTTCTTACTTTGTATCGTGGAGCCAACTTAAGGAGTTCTCTAAGTGGAACATCGGATCCGATTACACCCAGAAGGATGCCGTGTGATCTCTGAAAAAAAAATAGAAAATGAAAACTGGGGATGTATTATCTCTTTCTCCTTGTACCAAAATCAGTATCATCATTTTGTCACTATGTTGGTTTTCATCATTTTTATTGATTAGCCTGACAAAATATTCAGATGGAGGGATAAAAAGGAACAGAAACGGGTTAAATATTCCATTCTTGTCTAAGCTACAGTGTAGATGCTAATAAAAAGAGGTAATAGATTCTATAAGACTAATGATTTCAAAAGAAGACAGAGAAGTGGTTTGCATTTCTATTTTCTTGAGAAAATAGTTCTTTCACTAGTGTTTTTTCAACAGTGGGGCCAGTATATCAGTTCTTTCGCTAGATTTGAAATGTTAGTTTTTTTAAATTTTTTAATATTCTTGCTTTTAACCAAAAGAAAGTTACTTTGTCTCACACATACATTGGTAGATAATTGCAGATCGTTCTTCAGTACTTTTGCTATCAAATTTTGTTTGCAAGACTTTAGAAGCTCTAAAAGGTAATGATAAAGGTTCTCCTCACACTTATGTGCTATTTGTTCCCGACTCTAGGGGGTGGTGCTCATCTCCGTTTCAAAGCCAAAGAGCCAGCACTGTCTGAAGATGTCTCCATGGTCATGTAGCCGACCTGACTAAACACTGAAGGCGCAAAGGTGGTTTCTATTTTTCTACTTGCATTTTTTACGTGCTTTCGAACTGCTAGGTTGGCAGAAGCTGGGACACGTAACAGGAGCTCACTCTGTTACACAGCGCTAGGGATTCAAACCACCGAACTGCCGACCTTTCTGATCGACAAGCTCAGCATCTTAGCCACTGAGCCACCACATCCCTCAGAAGCTCCAGAGAGCCCATAAAAGGGAGTTGGGGCCATATGGAGATGGAGGCTATAGCTTGTCCATTTGACTTATTTTTAAATGCACTCTTTAAAATGTTTTCATTTATTTAACATGCTGTAGTTCAGTGGTGGGTTGCAGGCAGTGCGCCCCAGTACGAGCATACCAGAGCCTGCCCAGAGCACTGGGTACCGTTCTGGTATGGTGCTCCAGTGGGCCCACCCGCCTGCCTGAGCTTCTTACCATGTTTTAAAGTTTTTGGCTCTTCCGTGCACACACATAGCACATACAGCGCCTGCGCAATGCTCCGCCGAGGCTTGCGGAAGCATCGTTTGCAGCTATAATGCATGTGCGTGCCACACGTGTGTGCTCATGTGTGTCCATGTGGGTGATGCTGGGGCCGTTCCAGCTATACCGGTTGGAATGGAATCCAGAACCCACCACACCTGTACTTATATAGGGTTTTAATAAGTGGTAGCACACGTCTGGAGATCTGTTAAAGCTCTGTCAATCTGGTTCAGGGGTGGGTTCCTTCAGGAACTACTGCTGGTTCGCTCGTGTGTGCACCACTCGCATATGCGCAGTGCAATTAAAATTGTTCTGCGCATGCGCAGAACCAAAAAACAAGAACCGGAGAACCAGTTTGGGGGTGTGACAAGCCTGGGTCACTACCGGTTCCAGTGACCCAGGCCGTCAAACCATTATCAGTTCAGCTGAACTGGTCCGAATTGGTAGGAACCCACCACTGGTCTGGTCTACCTACCTCACTAGGTAGACCCAGACCAAGAAATCAACTCCATCGGAAAACTAAAACATGTAAAAATTATCCAACTGTTGTGGTCTCAAAACACGTTTGATTTCTCACCACCCTTGGAGCTTGCATATCTTCATCAAGGTCCTTACTCTCTACAAGCTCCAACAAGCAAAGTTTAAATTTTGCAAGCCATCCTTTTATCTTGCTCCAAGTAGAGATTGTCTAAAAAACCCAATGCTTACCGTTTCATTTTTTTTGCTGAAGACAGGCATAGCTACTGTTGTCATAAGCAAGAGACTTTGAGCTTGAGAGGCAAAGAGCTACCAGATAGAAAAAGAGCAGCAGATTAACTGTTGGGAGAGTAATTGGTAGGAGAAGCACAAATCCTTTGAATTAAATAGCAGGGAAGCACAATGAAAAAAGTGTGCACTAAAAATACTAGCTGTGCAAGAGGACAAGATGAATATGATACTTAGGGGAAAGTCATGAATCTGAAACATGTTTTGCCAATATACCTTCACATAGTCAAGGTAGATAACATTGTAAAGAAAGTTTAACAAATGACTGCACTTCTTCATATCCAGGTTAACATAGTTAAAGATATAATTAAAACATGTGATCCACTTACCCAGACATAGCAACTTGTAAATGTGCTTACATACATGATAAATAAAGTTTAACTGCACTTCTTCATATCCAGGTTAACACGGCATAGTTAGAGATATAACTAAAGCATGCGATCCACTTACCCAGACATAACAACTTGCAAATGTGTGCTTACATACATAAACATTCCAACTCATATTCAGGGTTCAAATACAAATGGGCTGGGATTGGAGTTGGAACCAAAGGATATATTCAGTGGTGGGATTCAGCCAGTTCGCACCACTTCGGGAGAACCAGTTGTTAAGTTTCTGGGCAGTTTGGTGAACTGGTTGTTGGAAGAAATCATTAGGGCAGAGAACTGGTTGTTAAATTATTTGAATCCCACCACTGGATATATTGCACAAGGGACATGGGCTTACATGGAAGATGGTTCATCAACAAGTTGGAAGAAAGAAAGGTAAGTTGTGGGAAATGGACAAAGGCATCACAAAGTAGAGATGGAGAGATGGGAGGGAGGGAGGGAGGGAGGGAGAGAGAGATGGCTTTGCAGCCCCAGAAGAGGAAAGAACCATTTATCTAGGGCTACAGCTCTCTTCTAGTCAATTCGATAAAGGTTTCACCCATTTCACCCTAGAGTGCGTCAAAGACTCATTAGATGAATCCAAAGATCTAACACAGAGGCCTTTAAGTTTGGCAACTTTAAGACTTGTGGACTTCAACTCCCAGAATCCTCCAGCCAGCAGAGCTGGAGAAGCATAGCTATGCTGGCTGGAGAATTCTGGGAGTTGAAGTCCACAAGTTTTAAAGTTGCCAAGTTTGGGGGGCCCTGATCTAGTATAAGAGCCAACTATATACCTGTGGAAGCTCCTGAGTGGAATGAGGGCAACTGCATCATTCCAATCACATATATATATTGAGAGGAATCCTTCCTCTGTTGGGAATAATATATTGCTATTATTCTTCATAGCTGTACATAGCACAATCTACCATGACTGTCAGGTTTCACTGTTGCATCATCTATCACAACATTTTATGGTATTCAATTCCACAGATTAATCTTCTGCTAGCCTTCCTAAACATTAGCTTAGTGGGCATTATTAACAGGTTGAGCCTGGATATTCAATAACTAAAATGTAGATGGCCATCCTATTTATAATTGGGAAAACACTTCATCTATACTCTCTCTCAAACAAATTATGTAACTTCTATTTCATATTCAAAGGGACCCTTTTCTAAAGCTAAAATCCCATTATGGATATTGTATAATCTTAACAATTACTTCAAGATGTAGCACTATAGTCGCATAATTATCCAGATATCTAGAGAGAAATAAGTACCATAAAATTCAGTGTAAGTGAGCACCAAATTGCAGTCAAATCCATTCAATGAATCTAGAATTAAGCCACAATTCAAACAGGGGACCTTCAGTCCATGAGCTATGCTCTGCAATACTATTCCATGACACAACACAACACAACTCAAATACATCCAGAATTAAGTTATCTGTCTTTCCCACGCTGCATTGCTCAGTCACTACTATATTATCATCTGGATGTATGGTAAAGCTACAAAGTAATCTAATATACAACATCCACAAAAGAGTCAATGTTCACAAAATACAGCTAGGTTGTTACCTCCTCGGATTGTGGCAGCTAGTGAGAAATGTGGATGGCATTAATGAATGGACACGACAGAACAGATGAATAAGCCAGACAAACATGCAACAAGTAACACAGGCAATGCAAGTGGGGAAAAAGTAAAAGCAAGCAAAAGCATCACATAGTTTTAGGTAGCAACAATCAAGAATCAGCACTCAATAAAATAAATCCAAGGTCACTCTGCTGATAATCTTAACTAAATTAGGAAAGAGATTTCTTTTATAACTTAGTTCCAAGAAATATTCAGCTTTGCTCTGTGAATTAAAAAAAAATCTTCTCATCTATTTAGGATTAGCATCAAGATGGCCAAGGCACGGTATGGTATGGTGGGACCAACTTTTTAAATTGTTGGCTCTTGTAAGCCCATCAATTGGTTGTGGATAGTAACAGCAAGTAATTGGGAACACACAAAGTCCTATTTCATCCAGAATTGGAAATTTTAACCACTGGAGATTGATTCTGCCAGTATCAAGATTGTTGATGCTCTGCCTTACCATTCAACGTACAAATAAGGTCCATGTACATATGTAGCAAGAAAGACTTTTCCTTGAGATGAACTTGGTTCCTTGTGATTTGATTTTTATACTTTCTTGGAGGACAATACAAAGCGTCATTGTTGCTCTCTTCCTGGATTTATTTTTATTTCCTAGTCTAACCTATAGCTCTGGTTCTTTCCCGTAGTCTCCCATTGAAATCCTAACAAGGGCCAACTTGTTTAACTTACTAAGACGTGGCTAGGTGCTGCTAGTTAGATGCTCAGGCTTTATTGCTAAGAGTGGATAAACATACTTGAGAAACTTTAAAGTAAAAGTAAATGTTCCCCTCGCACATATGTGCTAGTCATTCTAGGGGGGCGGTGCTCATCTCCATTTCCAAGCTGAAGAGCCAGCGCTGTCCGAAGACATCTCCGTGGTCATGTAGCCGGCATGACTAAACGCCGAAGGCGCATGTTACCTTCCCACCAAAGGTGGTCCCTATTTTTCTACTTACATTTTTACATGCTTTCAAACTGCTAGGTTGGCAGAAGCTGGGACAAGTAACGGGAGCTCACTCGGTTACAGAGCGCTAGGGATTTGAACCACTGAACTGCCGACCTTTCTGATCGACAAGCTCAGCATCTTAGCCACTGAGCATCCTTACGATGCGGTGAGATGAGAAACTTTAGCCTTATACAAAATGATATACATTCCTATGAAAACCCTCTAAAACTGTACTGAATTTCAACTTGTGGAAAAATATAAGTGGGAAGTCTACATTTATGCCAGCAATCTCACTGCTAAAGAGAGAGAATCTTGCCAATTATGAAAAACAGTGTTCCTCTTTTGCAACAGTAACAGCTACAAGTGAAAGAGAAATCAAGGTTTTGGCTGGCGTGGATCTCTCTTCCTCCTCAAACAAATTCTTCCTTTGGGTTTTAGCCTTAGTCATCTAAGACATATGGGACCCCATAATGTATGCTAATTCTTTCTGTGAATATAGAAAACAAGCTACGCTGCGGCTGCAGGCTCAGTGACCCATTTCTTGAGCTCAAACTAATTTTTTTCCTGGTGACTAATCCTTAATAAAGTGCTTCTGCAGATTTTACAGAGACAAGAGATTCTAATTAAGTCATGCTATGCCTCTTGTGATTTGTTTTGAGTTCCTGGACTATGGTGGAATTTCAAATGCAACATCGCACATAAGGAAAGTGTGATAAATGATGTCTGTTTTAGAAGGCACATTTTCACACTATCCAGCTGCTGTGATTCCACTTCTGAATGATATATGTACTGCAACAAATATCTGAAAAGACCCATATCTCTTAACGCCTTCAAAGTTGGACAATTAGAAACTTTTCATGAAATACTTACAGCACTGTCCATATAGGCTTCTGTCCATATGATGTCATGATCATGATTGATAACCATTGGCCGGCTAAGTACATGCAAATATTCCATGACATTCTCTTGCACATCAGCCAAAGTAGATATCTGTGTGTAGTAGCCTGGGCAAAAAAAATCACCGTCAACAGAGTTAATTTTGTTGAAATTGAAGTTTGTATCTCATTTGTTCCAAAAGTCTGTAGATATTCTCAGTCATCCAGGTCATGGTAATCCCAAAGATGCTTTTTCTGGAGGAAACTGGATTTTCTTGTTTTTTTTCTTTTGAACACGTTTGCTTCTCATCCAAGAAGCTTCTTCAGCTCCGAGAATCCTCAAAGGATTGGGGAATGGGAGGATTTATATTCCTTGCAGACATCTGATAATCTGCATACTTTTAGAGGGTTATTGAAGCACCTGGAGGTTTATCTGTGTCCTTAAGGTCACCTGAGTGGTGCTCCTGGTTCCTGTAGTCTGCAATTTTTTAAAAATAATTTTTAGATTTCCAGAGAAAAACTGCAGACTACAGGAATTGAAACAGTTGTAAGTGCAAAGACTGGTCATTCAGCACTGCTGTAACTTTAAACAGTCACTAAATGAATGATTATAAGTCAAGGACTACCTGTACCACCTTTGTAATGATCCCATATTATACACAAACACACTATTTAGGACGGTTAGGAAAGGCCTAATTAAAATTGCCACTGCTAATTTTTTTGCTTCTTTTATACTTTTTTTTTAAACCACAAAATGCTTCTGATTCAGTTTCTTAACTGCGTACTTTTCAAAATCTGTGACATATCGCTCAAACAGGAGTAGGCATTACTATTTTCTGCTACTTGCTTCTGGAACTTTTCCAGTTCAGATTAGGTTTGCATATCACAATTACTATAATGTAAAAATATATGATTGGCAAGTGCTTCTGTCTTGCAGAAAGGATGACTAAAATGAACCTTAATGAACTTTTTTTCTTTACCTTTATTGTTACAAGCTATCCATTTCACATTCTGTGCGAAGCTGACTTCCCTCCCAATAAGGTATGTAAAAACACGGACCTGTGAAATGAGACCACAAGCATTTAGAATGTGAAATTAAAAGGAACCAGAACTCTACCTTATTAATCTTTCATTTTAGAAAACCCCAGACAAGATCATTATTTATCTTATTCTTTGTGACATCTGCAATTGTCAGGTCCTGCCGCATCGCCTTGCATCTCTGAGCTACCCACCAAATACGATAGTCCTTATGCAAATATAGGAATTAGAGTAGGTGGCAATATTTTAGTTTGAATTCATGGAATAGCTAAGCCAGCTCTAGATAGTACTTAGATCCGAGGTGGGTTTCACATAATTTTACAACTCATTCGCTTACACTGAAACTGTGAGCATGCAAGCCTTCTGTGCATGTGCGCAACCTTCTGTGTTTTGCTCGCGTGCATGGCTTGCACACATGTGTGTGGCTTAGAAAATGTGGCTAAATAGGACAGCAGAGAGCCCATCCACAGGTCGCCAATACCGGTTTGCTTGAACCGATCTGAACCAGCTGAATACTACCACTAATTTAGAGGGGAAGGAAGCAGGAAATCTCAGGGCTATAGGCTAAGTGGAAATTTTAAAAAAACCCTAAAAAGAAGCAATGCCACACAGGACTTCTATGCAAAAACCTCTACATGGATATATGTCCATGGAGTCACTAAGAATGTAACTCAACTTAAAGAGGTCTTTTATGAGTTTGTGGGAAATAATAAGAGGTAAACCAAAGGAAGGAGTCAAATACAATTTGTCACAACCTTTTTAAACAGTAATTTCAAACTAACAGCTGTCATTATTTTACAGAGATTGTTACTGTGATTTGTTATGAGTTTTGACTTAGCATATCTGTGAGCTCAACTAACTGTGATTGATTCAATAAACCATTAATAACCAGTTTCTTAAAATAGCTTGTGAACCTTTCCCTCCCATCGCGTTTGTCTAAAACTCATTTAAATATTGATGTTTTGGTTCTTCTGCTACATAAAAAAATTAAATACAGTGACCCTATCACTAAACTTAGACCAATCTCACTAATTAGTGAGCTCCATCTGCAATTATCTCAAGCAAAAATTTAGCTAGGAACCTAAACGTCTCCACGCTATTCATTGTTTTGTTCCCTGCTCATGATTCATACCAGACCAGTTGATTTTCTACGCTCTTCTCTGTTTTTCACTTTGGAAGCTAACCTTACGATCAGGCCAGTTGAATTTTTCAAAGACATATTCATAATCTTCCATAGCTCCATCGGTGAGCAGCATGATAGCTTGGTTGCAAAGGCCTCCTTGTCCTGCATCTCTGAACTACGAACAGAACAAACCACATTGAAAGTCATGGGTAGAGATACACATCTCACTGGCACAAATAGTATAGCAGATTAATGAAGTCCTTTGTTAAGCTTCAGCAGCAGATTAATGAAGTCCTTTGTTAAGCTTCAGCATCTATCATATTGATAGGGGTGCTCAAACATGTTGGTAATAGTAGCAAGGTTCATTTATTTATTTTTATCCTGCCTTTATTATTTTTACAAGCGACTTAAGGCAGTAAACATGCCTTCCTCCGAATATATTCCTCACAAAAACATTGCTATGAAGTGGGCTGGGCTGAGAGAGAGTAACTGGTTCATATTCACCCAACTGACTTTATAATAATAAAACAAAACAATACAATACAATACAATACAATATAGTTTATAAAGGTCTCCTTACTTTTGTGCTAGATAGTTCTATGATTATTCATGATGGAAGGAAAAAACTTTGTACATGCCAGTAACATATTTCATAATAATTCATAGGAAGTAAATATTAGCCATAAAATGGATAAAAACAATCCAAGCACTGAGATCCAATATACCTAACTTGAATTCTGTTTATATTCCAGAAGGTCAGAATATTACTTAGACTTTCCAAAAATAAAAACAAGACTTTTGCCTAATCTAAATATTTCTGAGTGGATGTAAGGATACTGGTATCCTTATCATTATATGTAGGCTATTGATGTTCCTCTTTGTAGCCTCCAACTAAAGTGACTCTGGTGATCTGATGCCAGTTAAATGTAGTGTCTCCTAGCTTGTCTATTCCTTCCTGAAATAGCATTTGCTACACATCATCTGAAGGTTTGGGTCGAATATTGTATGCTAGATGCAAGTTTTAAACTGTGCGAATGAACCAGACCCAGGGAAAATACTAGGTTTAATTCAGTGGTGGGTTTCAAAATTTTTAGAACCTCTTCTGTAGGTGTGGCCTGCTTTGCCAGCCATGTGACTGGATGGGAGTGGCTTGCTGGCCATGCAACTGAGTGGGAGTGGCTTGGCAGTCATGTGACTGGGTGGGCGTGACCAACTTGTAAAATGTGGTGAAACTCACTTAACAATGCTCTTGCTTAGCAACCAATATGTGGTGAAACTCACTTAACAATGCTCTTGCTTAGCAACCAAAATGTTGGCTCAGAAACTTTGGCATTTGAAGCACGCAAGTCTTAAAGCTGTCAAGTTACAAGACCCTTGGACCCCTAACCCTTTAGAAAAAAATACCCCAGGGATGTTCAAACTTGACAGCTTTAGGACTTTAAGGTTTAGATGGACTCTTAGAGGCAGGCAGGGCGATTGATGAGCCAGCCAATCAGTGAGCAGCAGGTGGGCAAGCGTGGTGAGGACAGGCAGTGGGAGGGAGCTGGAACCGGTTCTAAATGGCACAGTAGATTTGTGGAACATCTTCTATAGAAGAGGTTAGAACTGGCAGGAACCCACCCCTAGTTTAATTAAATAAAGTAAGTAGGCCTTAGCATTCCAAAGCTTTTGCTCTCATCTTCTCTAATACCATCCTTTTAACCCCTTCTACATCTCCTATCACTAGGAAAGCAGACCCAACCAAATATGTTATTCTCTTGAACAAATATGAAATTGGAAAGATATAAATATGATTAAACACAAAAGCCAGTGGTCTCCTTCCTGAAGAAACAGAGCTTCAGGTTAACCAAGACCTGATCTATTAGGGCAATGATGGTGAACCTTTTAGGCACTGAGTGCCCAAAGTGTGCATGTGCATGGACACCCAAAATGCAAGGCGCGGGTACATGCACGTGTACACCCGGTGCATGCACCTATGCCCAAACTGCAAGGTGTGGGTGCATGGACATCTGTGCGCTATGCCTGCAAACAGTCCCAGAGGATGCATGGCAGAGACTCAAAGATCAGCTGGCTGGTGGGAGGCATGTGCAAATGCATGGCAGAGACCCGAAACAGAGAAGGCCACAGTGCATGTGCCCACAGAGAGGGCTCTGTGTGCCACTTCTGGCACACGTGCCATAGGTTGCTACCACTGCATTAGGGTCATCTAGTCCCATGGGAGCTTTGCAATATGGGCTGTTTTTACTCCCCAAACTACCCCTAATATCTATTTCGGTCACAGTGACAGAACTGAGTCCAACACATAATAAACATGAACAAGGAAATCAACATTCTCAAAATAATAATGTCCAACCTGGTCTGCAGTTTGAAACAACATGTTCATCAGCAGGTTTTGGCAATGTCACAATGAGTATCTGCCACTATTATCTTTCCTTTCTTTTCCTCCAATGGTTTGTAATAATCAGCACAATACTGCGAAAGCCAGTGTGCCCTTTAAAAATATATAGATAAAGGAGTCTTACCTCCCTCAGGATTTTGAAGGATTCAGTCAGGGCTTTGTTCACCTTCCCGACTCCTTTTGCTTGTAACTCGTGAACCAGCTGCTTGAAATGCTGAGCAAATGAGACATTAGAAGCACTCTAATAGCAGTGATTAGAAACATTACACAAAGGATAATACAGGAATGTCAAAACACTAGAAAACTACTCAAAGAATAGAGCTCTCTAGCGCAAGCTATATATGAAGGGATCTCAATAACATCACCAGGGCTAGTCTATACTAGTGTTAGCTTAGCACTGATGATGTTACCTAGTTTGGGTAATGAAACATCTGCAAGAAAACATCCAAGTTCAGAGAGCACCAAGGACCCCTCATTTCAATCTTGAGCTACCAATGTTCTCCTTGTTTTGGGCAAACTATATATTTCAGCACTAGGACAGCTCCATAATTTGAGTTACTAATACAGTACTTTCCAGGGAAGACAACAGCAATCTTAAGCTGCTACTACGGTAGTACAGAAAGATCAATGCCTTTCCCCCTTCTCTTACTCTTTTCTATAGAGATAATCCTCGACTTATGACCAGTTACTGAACAACTGTTCAAAGTTACAACGGATCTCCCCAGAGTTTCTTAGGTTCCGTTTGTCAAGTTATGTGAGCTGCGCCCCCATGATCACATGATTGCATTTTGGGCCTTTGGTAAGTGGCTCAACTTTACAGGGGCTTCTGATGTCCTGGAGGCCTATGACCATGATTTGCAACATTTATTTTTTGCCAGTTTCTGGTATTTACTTCTGGTTTCTGGTTAAACAAAATGCCCTTTGGGGAAAATGAATATACTTAACAATTGTAAGGTAAAGGTAAAGGTCCCTTCACACATATGTGCTAGTTGTTCCTTTCTCTAGGGGGCAGTGCTCATCTCCATTTCAAAGCCAAAGAGCCAGCGCTGTCCGAAGACATCTCCGTGGTCATGTGGCCGGCATGACTAAATGCCGAAGGCACATGGGCCGCTGTTACCTTCCCATCAAAGGTGGTTCCTATTTTTCTACTTGCATTTGTACATGCTTTCAAACTGCTAGGTTGGCAGAAGCTGGGGCAAGTAACGGGAACTCACTCTGTTACGCGGCGCTAGGGATTTGAACTGCTGAACTGCCGACCTTTCTGATCAACAAGCTCAGTGTCTTAGCCACAGATCCACTACGTCCCACTTTAACAATTGTAGTGTTCACTTAATGACCACAACAAAAAAGGTTGAAAAATGAGGTCCAGTCATGTGATGCCTAACTTACAACCATAATGAGGTCCAAAAATGCAGTCCAAAAAATTGGTCCCAAATGGGGTGATAAGTTGAGGACTACCTGTATGGCCTCTGTGTCTGCTGCTTCCTATAGTGATCTCAGGAAATCCTGTCCCTGACTTTCCCACTGCCTAATTTCTCCATCTCCTTACCTCTCTCTGGGTTGCCTTTGACATCAGCATATCGGTCTGTGCCCCCGTTCCTTATTGCAACAATCTCAGAAACTGCCATCTTGGAACATCCTACTAGTTCAGTTGTCCCCTCATTATTACAGTATTCAAGTCAAGCTTTCTTTCTTATTTTTCTTATCCGGATCAAGAAGTTATCTTTAACCCCAACCCCCAAGATGAAATTCACAATTTCTTTACAATATTAATATTTCTTATTCTCTGGGAGACTTTATATTACCAATTAAAATGATGTAATCCTTATTTAATCCCTCTTCATTGTAATTATTGGAGGTCCACTGCTTTTTTAAAAAAACATTCCACATTTTCTCAAATGCATAGATTTTATGGTTGAGGGAATATATATTTCAGTGGTGGGTTGCAGGCGGTACGCCCTGCTACGGGCATATCGGAGCCTGCCCAGAGCACCAAGTACCGTTCCGGTATGGTGCTCTGGAGGCCCCGCCCACTCGAGTTCCTTACCTGTCCTTTAAAGCCTTCTGGGCTTCTGCACACACACATGGCATGTACAGCGCTTGCGCGATGCTCTGCTGAGCAGCTGGAGCATCGCAGAGGCTTGCGGAGGTGTCGCTGGAAGGTACAATGTGTGTGTGTGTGTGCACTGCACGCATTCATGTGGAGGACACCGGGCCCCATTGCAACCGTACCGTTGCAACGGGATCCGGAACCCACCACTGATACATTTGTTGTGAAAATGCATCCAGGGCTTTGGTTTTTCTTAGTTATCATTATTTGTCTCCTTCCTTTTAAAACAAGCAAGCAAGGAAACAAAATGATTAAATGAAAAATGGTAAGGTGGGAGGCTATAAGGAGGCGTACTGGCTGAGGAATTCTTGGAGTTGAAGTCCACACATGTTAAAAGTTGCCAAGTTTGAAAAATGCTGCTCTAGATTTGGATTCTGTATTTCTAGCTTCCAATCGTGTGAATTAGAATCCAGTATTATCTGTAGGATTAAGGTAAAGATAAAGGTTCCCCTCTTACATATGTGCTAGTCTTTCCCGACTCCAGGGGGTGGTATTCATCTCTGTTTCAAAGCCGAAGAGCCAGTGCTGTCCGAAGACGTCTCCGTGGTCATGTGGCCGGCATGACTCAAAATGCCAAAGGCTCACGGAATGCTGTTACCTTCCCACCAAAGGTGGCTCCTATTTTTCTACTTGCATTTTTACATGTTTTCGAACTGCTAGGTTGGCAGAAGCTGGGACAAGTAATGGAAGCTCACTCTGTTACACGACACTAGAGATTCAAACCGCCGAACTGCCGACCTTTTTTCAGGCTTACACTTCCCTAAATGGGTTTAGATGACTCAACTACTTAGCTAGTATTTGGATATATAAAAATAGCCACAGAATTCACAGGGGCAGAAAAAAAGCATTGGTTAAATATGTTTTATAACAGTTTATGGGCCTTTAAGTCCCCAGTGCTTATATGCCATATTCAGTAGAGATTGTCTTTTCAAGTTTAATACTCACCTCCCTGTTATCTCTGTCAGCTTGAACCAGGATTCCCTTGAAACACGATTCAATGTAATGAACATAGTCATTGTACTGTAAAGACAAAAGGAGGACAATTACATGCTGTAAAAGGAAATGTTTTTAAAGAACTCTGAAAGCATTAGCAGATTTTATACCGAATAAAGAAGACCTCTGTCATGTTCGCTTTGAGAGCAAAGAATACATTTTAAAATGCAAGGTGTTACAAAACAATTTTCGTTGCCTTTTGGGAAGCAAATCATAAGCATGGATGTGTAGGACATAATTCAGTTGTTTTCATTGATATTTAAATAGCACATAGAGGAAAGAAAATGTAAATTAAGAAGCAAATAATCTTGGCTACATCTGCCGGTGTGTCTTTCCTTAATCTGTTTTTCGGTTGAATTAACATTTCTAATATTTTGCTTCTTATTAGCCTTGCACTCCTCTTAATGCTGAATCAGGCAGTTTTGTTTGCATCTGATAATGTTCTGGGTGCACCTTCCTCCCTTAATTGGTAGTAGTCAACAACACGAGAGGGGTAAAATCCATAAGGAAATCAAGGAGACCAATTTATCATAATAGTTCTTTGGCAGTGAAACATATGAAGAACGGTTGCAGGAACTGGGTATATCTAGTTTGATGAAAAGAAGGACTAGGGGAGACATGATAGCAGTGTTCTGATCTCTCAGGGGCTGCCACAAAAAAGAGGGAGTCAAACTATTCTCCAAAGCACCTGAGGGTAGGACAAGAAGCAATGGCTGGAAACTAATCAAGGAAGAGAAGCAACCTAGAACTAGAACTAAGTTAGAACAATTAATCAGTGGAACAACTTGCCTCCATAAGTTGTGAATGCTCCAACACTGGAGGTTTTTAAGATGTTGGATAACCATTTCTCTGCAGTGGTGTAAGGTTTCCTGCCTAAGCAGGGGGTTGGACTAGAAGACCTCCAAGGTCCCTTCCAACTCTGTTATTCTATTCTATTCTATTCTATTCTATTCTATTATAGTATGACTTCATGATTCAGAGAGATGGTGGGCTTGCTTTCACTGAAAGAGCCTCAGGGAAAGGCTACATAAACACCTGTCTTGAATCCTTTCATTTGGGTTCCTTCACCCAAAGTTGTAAGTGTCTCCTTCCACACTCTCTGAATGTTCAGTCCTTGCCTCAAAGATGTAGAATAAGAATTGCTCCTGAAGAATGTTGGTGAAGCTCAAGGAGGAAGGGGACAGAGCACATGCTGCCTGAATTAGTCTGTCACCATGTTATTTCTCTTGTTTTGGAAACACAGCTCATGAGATTATTCTGGTTTTATCAGAGCAACCTATTGCTGTTCTGTTTCCATAGTGGAAAAATCAATACCTCGGATCCAATGTAAAAATGGAAACCAATCTGATGATGATAATAATAATGATCTACTCTAGATTTACTGCTACAATCAGAATAGTTTGGCTCCTCTGTAATAGAATAAGAGTACTCTTCATTCTGCTAGTTTTTTCAGGTTCTTCATGGATACCAAGGGGTGGGATTCAGCAGGTTCGTACCGGTTCGGGCAAACCGGATGATAATTTTAATTTGGTTTGCCAAACCGGTTGTTACAAGGACTGGCCGACCCACCCCACCCCACCCTGGTCCTCCCAGGAGTCTCCACACAGCCTTTTCATCATGCCAGGTAAGCGCAAGGCCCACGTGGAGGCTCTGGGAGGGCGAAAAATGGCCCTACTGGAAGTACCAGAAGTCTGAAAATAGTCCTGTTTCTTTCCTCTGGAGGGCTTCCAGAATCCATTGTGTCCAACGTTTTTGCCCTCCCAGAGACTTGAGGAAAGCTTCCAGAGCCTGGAGAGGGTGAAAAACGGGCCTACTGGAAGTCCAGAAATGGGTTCATTTCGGGTCTCCGGAGCCTGGGGGAGGCAAAAACACCCCCTCCACCATGGTGAAGGAAGCTGACTAGGCCATGCCCCCATGGCCACACCCACCCATCAACTGGGCAGAGAACTGGTTGGTAATTTTTTTCAATCCCACCCCTGTGGATACCCCAAATACAAAGGCCTATCTTGTCGAAGACTGGTGAAAGATAAGTTTCAGGGGAGGAGGATGCTTGAAATTTTTTTGTTGTTGGGGGTGAGGGCGAACTTAAGTCTCTATGGAAGAAGATACCATAAGAAAAAAAGATTTCATATTCCCAAGCTGAGGAATTTTAAAGAAATTGGTTGTCCAATTGCGGTTAAATTCTACAACTTGCTGACAGGGCAAACGCATTACATGCCCTAACAAATGGCTCCGTGTGCCACCCGTGGCATGCGTGCCATAGGTTTCCCATCACGGGACTAGAGTGACAAATATGGAAAGGCTACAGATCAACAGAGAAATGAACAGAAAGGCCTAGGGGGAAAAAAACAAGAGAAACACAGAGATGACAAACAGGTTACATAAAACCTACCTGCTGAGTTCTTTTATCTATTGCTACAAACGATATCACTGTGCACCATTTTTAAAGAACAAGACAGTTCTTTACCTCGAGTGGCTTAAAATCTAACATTCGTGAAAGGAAACAGAAAAGGAGAAAAGGAGGCAAACAGGAGACCGGCTTTCACCAAGTATGGTTGTGCATTTGTTTCAGCTGCACAAGCTTCAGCTTAGTGACAGGCTAAGTTATTGTGAGAGATCAGAAATGACTTCGGGGCTCCAAATCAGGCAGAGTGGAGGAACAACGTACTGATTAGTGAGCCAAGTGCTGAGATAAGACAGTGGGGCTACCTGGGGATAGTTCCACTTTTGCTCTGCTAAATGTCTCTCTTTCATATCGCCACAAATCCATCTTTTAAGGATAATATGCCAGGGTTGCCCCTTTTTTGCAGGATGGGGGTGGAGAGGGGGTGAGGTAAGGGCTCTCTTGCATTTTAATCTCATGAAATTACTCTTGAAAGTAAATATCCTGTCTAAGCCTGTTCAGACTCTTAATCTCATAGCAAAAGCTATTTTTAACAACTGTCGGGTGACTAAAGCCAGATAAAATAATTTCTATCTGAAACAAATTCTGCAAGCTAAAGGGAGAATTTGGTTTCATCCCAGGATTCTATAGATATATTTAGCCAAAGATAGATAGATAGATAGATAGATAGATAGATAGATAGATAGATAGATAGATAGATAGATAGATA